CCCACCCCTTTGTAAAGGCAAAAGGGATCGTGTCCCCCCCCCCCCCCCCCCCGTCGCCCCTCTTCAATGCCTGGTGCCTTTTCTCAGTTGCCAGTCTCGCTGAGGCTGTCGGGCTCTTTCTCACCTCCTGCAAGCCCGGGAAGCTGCCGTGTTGCGCTCCCGCCGAGGCAGCCTAAGCTGGTCAGCTAAACCGCTGCTGCTCGCCCAGCTCCAAAAAGGAGGCCTGGGAGATTTGCTGTTTCTGTTGCCTACAGCTAGGTAAGACGACAGGCAGCGTGGCTCTCAAATCACTCTGCTGTTGACTGCTCTGCAGCTCTTTATCCGGAGCAGCCAGGCCACCTCTTCACTTGTAATGCCTGGGGGTACACAGGAGGGAGGCAGCGAGCTTGGGGCTCTGCCTGTGCTGTCCTGCGACCTGCAGACTGCCTCAGCGTCCCCTCTGCAGGTGCATGTTAGCTTTAGGAGATACAACAGGCTGAGATGCCCACCCTGCTGCGGGAAAACAGGGCTGCTCCCCTCTTACGGGGCTTGGGGAAACACGCTGAAGCTCCTGCTGCCAGCTCTCCCTCAACTTTAACTGATGGTCGCCGAGCCGAGGAGAGCGAAGGCCGGTCGGGCTGAGCGGTGCCCCTGGAAAAAAAAAAAAAGGGGGGGGGGATATTGGAGGAGCGGGGTGCCAGCACATAGGCAGCTCTGGGGGTGGGAGCCAGCAAGGTGGGTGCCGCATCCCGGGAGCGACGGCTGCTTGTGGGCGGAGGGGTGGCCGGCGGGCAGCCAGCCTCGGGCTGCTGCCCACGCCTGGGAGGTTGGGGCACCCGGTGTTTGTGCAGCTGCCCAGCGCTGCTGGCTTGACACCCCTTGTCCCCTGGCTACCGCCCTGCCGTCGCTGCGGGCTGGGGCGTCCGGGCCTGAGGCGAGCCCGCGGTCCTGCCTGCCCCTTCCCCGGTGTCTCGTCCCGGCGAGGGGAAGGGACCTGGGTGCCTCTTTCTGTCCCCGATCTCTGCTGAAGCAAGAGCCACCCTGCTCCCGGGGAGAACACGGCTGGGCGGGGGGGGGGGGGGGGGGGGGAAGGGAGGATAACCTGCTGCGAGCAGCACTTCTGCCCTGCACCCTCGCGCTGGGGTCGGAAACCGGTGGTATTGGGAAACCTCTCATCTTACTGCTGGCTGTGCTTGTCTGGCGCGAGCAAGGAGACGGTGCGAGGGAGGGCGGAGAGGCCCAGCGCCATGGCTGCAGGGACGGGTAGAGCCAAGCCGCTGCCGGCGCCCACCGTGGCCTTTGCTTGGGAGCCTTTGCCCTCCGCTCGCTGTGCCTTTAACGTGCCACGGGGGAGGCGAGGCCGCGTAGCTGCCTTCCTGCTTGCCATCTCCTTCCCCGCCACCCTGAACATCCTAAAACGCCTGCGCTCCCCAGAAGCACTGCCTGCTCCTGCCCCAGCTGGCTGAGGACCCTGGCGCTGGGCCCTGGCGAGGGAGGCCGGGAAAAGCGTGCGGAGAGGTGGCGGTGGTCAGCCGGAGCAGGAGAAGGTTTCCTTCCCCCCCCCCCCCCCCCCAGGAGCAGGGCTGTTGGCAGGAGGCAGCTGCCCGAGCTCTGGCCTTCTCCCAGGAGCGTGGGTAAGCCCTGCGTGGCTGCTGCCTCCCGTGCCGGAGCGCTTCTGTGATGGGTACCCCGGGGCAGGGACAGCACAGACCCACGGCGGGGTGGGGGGGGCTGAGCTCCGTGTGCCCCTGGGCTGGGCAGGGGAGCAAAGGGCTCAGAGGAGCAGTGGGGCAGCCCCCGGGGGGCTGAGCTGGGCAAAAAAAAAGCGCTGTTGGGGAGCAACTGCCTGGCGTACCCAAGGGCTCCCTGCAAGGGCAAGCGAGAGCTGCCGGGCTGGGGGGAGGCGAGTGTCCCCGGGCAGTGATTTTGGTGGTGCCTGGGTGGAGGAGACCCAGCCTGGCCTTGCCTTGGGGCTTGGGGAGGGGGGGGGGGTGCTGCCTTTGCAGGTGCTGCTCTGTTTTTTTGGAGGCAGGCTGGGGCTTGCTGCCACAGCTCGCCCTCGGGTTAGGGGGGGGGGGGGGGGGGGCAATTTACCTTTCATCTAAATTGCTATGCAGGCAGTTTTGCATCCTAATCCCTCTGCCGGCGGAGGCCTCCTCCCACTACACCCTGCCTTCTCCAGGCATCTTCCAGCAGGCTCCCACCAAGGCGGGCAGGGGGTTCCTCCATCCCCTGGGGCCCCGGGGAAGCAGCCTGACGCCTTTTCCCCAGCCCTGGGGCCAGGCGCGGGCGGGAGAAGGGGAGGGGGGGGGGAGCTGCAGGTAGAGCCCCCGTCTCCGCATAGTTAGCATTCCCAGCCCCGCTCCTCCCGCTGCCATCCTGCTCGCTTTCTGCTGCGCTGGGCGGGTCTGGGGGACGCTGGTGCTCTTTGGGGAGCCCCGTTCTCCTGGGCTGGGGGGGCTGGAGCCAGCCTGGGCGATGGGGGGGGCAGCTCTTTCCTTTTAAACCTGCAGTGGCCTTTGCACCCTCTTTAGGTGAGGGACTACTGCTCAGACGGCGGCTGGTATCTCTTCTCTCTGGGTAGCAAGGACTGCACCCCAACCCTGCCATGCTTGCACCCCAGGCTGGCCATGCATCCCCTTTCTGCCAGCCAAGGGGGAAACAGGGTGGGCTCTGCTGCCTTCCAAAGCCCCCCCGAGTGTCTCTCCGGGTGGACAAAGCTTCCTGCACCTGCCCCTGGAAAAGAGGAGGCAGGTGCTGGGTAGGGGGGTAAATAATTCCGATGCTTCCCGTATCGCCGTGAAGGGGGGATGTTTGAGGCCTGGGAGCGGGAAGGGGGCTGGAGGGAGAGCGGAATCCTCGCAGTTTACTTTGGGCAACTCCGTGCCCCTGGCGCTGGGGGCTCTTGAGTAGAAAGCGAATTTAATCTCTTGTTTTGTTCGGTCTTTCTTCCTCCGAAAGGGGGGCCAGCGCAGGGCATGCGGGGGGGAGCGGGGGGGGGGGGGGGAAGTGTCAGATCTGAAAGGGAGGAGTAAAGGGAGGACGGGGAACGGCAGAGCCGGGAGGGAGCAGCAGCAGTGGGCTGCCAGCCGCCCCGGGAGGAGGAGAAGGGGAAAGGCAGGGAAGGAGATCGCCTTCTGGGGGGGCAGGTGAGCGGCCAGGTGAGGAGGGGGAGAAGGGATGGCAGGAGGGGTGTGGGGGGGTGCTACAGGGGGGATGGATGGAGTCCTGGGGTGTCTCTGGGTCTTTGGCAACTGCCCTGCTGCTGGTCCCATCCTGTCCCTCAAAATCGCTGTCCAGGTAGCGTGCTGGGGACAGAGTGCCATTCCCTGCAGCGAGGGGCCCCTCAGAAGGGCCGCGGGGGGCAAGTGGGAGGAGGAGGAGGGGTTGCCACCAACTTCTCTCCCCTTCGTTCCTGTTGGAAGTCCCTCTCCTGTCCCTCGGCTTCCCAGACCGCTCCGTGCCGGCTGACCTCCCTCATCTCGCCTCGCCGCCCCTGCCGTGAGCCCAACACAAGAGTTTGGGGGCTGCCCAGGTCGGGCAGGAGAGGTGGAGACCGGCTGGCCGAGACCTCGCCAGGGCCAGGGATGCTCACGGCCGTGACGAAGGGGCTCCTGGGCCTGCTGTCCCCCGTGGGCCAGCTCCCTCCTCCCTGCCGCGGTTGCAGGGAGCTGTGGTGCTGGGGAAAGGGGTGCAGCCCTCTGGGGCCGTGCCTGCTGTCACAGGGGTTCGGCTGCATTTCCCCCCCCAACCCCATGGATTGGGGCGGCTGTGTTGCCTCATGGTGGCCTTGCAGAGCCCGAGCCTGTTGCTGCGTGTCCCTTGCTCCTGGTAATTCCTGCAGTGGGGAGGCATTTGCACCCTGGCCCCGGGGGGGGGGGCTGCTCAGGGTGCTGTCAGCCCCCAAGATCCGCCGGCCCCATGGGCATCTGCACATCAATGGGGTGCATGCAGGGGGAGTTGGGGGGGGGGGGGTGAGCAGACCCTAATCCGGCTCATTCATCCCGACGGCGCCTTTTGTTGAGCCTCCAGATGTTCGGCCGAGGGCTCACATCCTGAGCAGGGGTTGGTGTGCCCCGGATTTCGGGGGGGGGTGGGTGTGGGTGTGTATGTTTGGCTGCCCTGGGCACCCGGTGCTTTGGGGTCTCAGGGCAGGACTCTCTGGAAATTGGCCCCATCATGGGCCTGGGTGCAGACGGGAGGAGGCGGGGTGGGGGGTGTGTGTGTGTCCCTCCCCCCCCCCCCCCCCCCCCCCCCCCCCTTCCTTGAGCGGCGGGAAATAAGTTTCACTGAAGCGTTTGGGATTTTTCCACCAAACTTCGTCGGGGCAGGTAGCTGGGGGGGGGGGTGTGGGGGGTGGAGGGGGGAGGAGACGTTTGGCCCGCGGCAGCCCCGGGTTTGGGGGGATCCCGCTCCCCCGCCCCGGCGGCAGGAGGGCTGGGAAGGACCCGGCGTGCACCCCCCCTCGCCTCGCCACGCGTGGGCTGCGCTCCCACGCCGCGTCCTCGGGGCCGCGACTCCAGAGCAGTCCCGGCCCCTTCGGCGGCGGTGGGGGAGGGACCCGCGCTCCCTCCCAAGGGCGGGCGCCACTAACCGGCCACCCCGCTTTGCGGGTGGGGGGGGACACACACAGACAGACAGACAGACAGACACGCCTCTCTGGGAGCCCTCCCTTTGTCCTGGGGGATAGCAAGGGGCAGAGCTGGCGTGAAGGACCCCTTGCCTCCTCCCATATTTAAGCCCCCGCACCCCAAGGGCTGTGCAGCCGTGGTGGGACAAGCCCTGGGGAGCCGGGGGGGGGACAGATGTCCCAGCAGAAGGGGACACTGCTGCTGGCACTGGAGGGGTGCAGGGTGTCTGCCTCACCCAGGCAGCGTCCTGGAGGGGAGGGGGGGGGTGGGCCATGCCACGGGGTGGGGGGGGGGGGGGGGGACACAGGCGGGCGTGGAGGCACCCACGCGTGCGTGGGCTGCAGGGATGCTGGTGACAGCGGGGGTCTCGTCCTCCCCTGCCCCTGGCAGGCTGTAGGATGCCGGGGCCGGCCGGGCTGGGGCTGCCCACCTGATCCTCGCCGCCCGCGTCCCGCCGGCACGCCATGTTGCGTTCCTGGCGCATGAAGCTGAAGCTGCTGCTCGCCACAGTGACCTTGGCCGTCCTCCTCTCCTGGCTCTACCTCTTCGTGGGCAGCCTCGAATGTGAGTGGGTCCTTCTCTTCGGAGCAAGGGAGGGTGGGCAGGGGGAGGCCGAGGCCTTGAGGGGATGCTCTGTGGCCATGCCGGGCTCTGCAGGGTCTATCTGAGCTCGGCGTTTCCAGGGCCATCCTGACTTTAACACAAGGGTTTGGTAGAATGCGTCATCTTACCAGTATCGCAGCATGTACTCCAACTCCTCGGTCAGCCAGTCAGCCTATCCCATGGGGAATCAGACCGACAAATTCATCTTTCTTAGGGGAATATGATAACATCACGAAAGCCTTTAAATGGCCCGATGCTTCCTATTACTTAGACAAAGAGAATAAACGTAGACAAAGAGGTAGTGATGTTTTACAAGATGCTACCCCTTGGAGATCAGGGAATAATAGAACAGTATTTGGGAGAGATTCAGAGGAACAGTGTCCCGAAGGATCACAGCCGATAACTGCTCAGTTTCTGCAAGTAGCATTAACAGCCTCGGGCGGACAGGCTGCAGGATTATTGAAACTCTGTGTTACCAGTAACACAGTGCCTAATGCGACTCCACCAACCTTAGAAGAAAGCTTAAAACTTGGACCAGACCTTTGGGAGTGTATTGGAAGTATATGGGAGATACAGATTGGTGCTTTAATTGGGGCATGAAGTCTGGCTGTAATGTCAGCAAAGCCAACTGGAGATGCTCCAATGCTTTAAATCATAGTAAATTATCAATCCGAAATTCTACTTCGGTGGTAAAGGAATATTGCCAGAAACAACATTTTTCAAGTGAAGACTGTAAACAAGAAGTTCCGTCCCGTATCACATCAGATAGTTATTGGACTACCCGGGTACGACCTAGTATAATAACCAGACAGGTAACCTTAGGATTATTGACCTTACGTCCTACCTGGAAAAAAAAAGTCCAATCAAAGCCCAATATTGGGGGTGAATTCAAAGAGATACTGAAGTAGAAAAAGATCTTGGTACTTGGACAGGGCCTTCCACAAGCAGTACAACTGGACTGGGGACTCCAGAGTTTCTTATTACCAGGACTAACGGCTTTAGAAAATCGAATATTGATAGAAAATTTAACTTGGCAAGTAGAAACCTTGTCAAGAGCCGCTCAGAAAGGGTTCTAAGTTACAAACAAACGAGGCCAAGCCAATGCTAAAATGACTTCGCAAAAGAGGCTAGCCTTAGACTCGCTGTTAGTTAGGGAACAAGGGGTCTGCGGGTACCTTAAATTGGATAAAGAGCGTTGCTGTATTCACATCCCAAACGCCACTGACAACCTGCAGGAAGAATCAGATAAAGCGAGAAGAGTAGCAGAAGGCAGCAGAGCGACCAGGGGTGCAGCAGGAGGTGGGGGGAGCGGCGCTGCGCCCTTGGCTGGGCACACAGTTTTTTGGGGGGGGTGGGGGGTGTGCCGGGACCCCTCCGCCGGGCCGTACCCATCGCGTACCCCGTGTCTCCTCCGCAGACGGCCGCTTCCTCCTCCTGCCGCCCTGCCTGGGCGAGCAGCCGAGCCGGGACGTGGAGCGGGAGGCGCTGGCTTCGCGGGTGCGCCGGGTGGAGGAGGAGAACCAGCAGCTCCGCGTCCAGCTGGGCCAGGCGCAGGAGGGCAGCGACGGCAGCCCGCGGTGGGGGACCCCCGCCGAGGATGGGGAACCCCCCGGGGGCGAGGGGAGCAACCGCACGGCCTGCCCCAAGCAGCGGACGGTGCACAAGTGCGAGGTGGGCGATGGCAGCGGCGCGGCGGGGAGGGGAGGGGAGGGGGGTGATGGCGGGGCTGGGGCCTCATCCTGGCTCTCCATGGTGCTCAGCAGGTCGCAGCTGGGGGGCGAGGGTGGCGTGCTTCTCCGAAAAGGGAGGCCAGACCCCTCGTTTCTGTAGCCAGAGGACTCCCCACCTCTCTCCGGGGCTCATTCCCCAGGGGAAGGGCTGGGTGGTGGAGTCTCTCCCCATAGCACGGCCCCGGGAAGGAGCTGATGGGCCCCTGTCGGGGGTGTGTGTGTGTGTGTGGGGGGGGGGGGTCCAGTCTCAAAACGGCTCCGTTTGTCTCTGGGCAGCTCCTGCACGTCGCGATTGTGTGCGCCGGGCACAACGCGAGCCGGGATGTGGTCACCCTGGTGAAATCCATCCTCTTCCACAGGTAAGGGGAAGGTGCTGTGCTGCTTCGGGGGTCCCAGAGGAGCTGCTGCGGGGGGGACAGTGCTGCGGGAGAGGGGCTCTAGAGCCTTTCTCTGCCCCCCTGCGCCACTGCTTAGAGGGTCGGAGGGGGATTTGTTTCCCCCAGGTGTCTGATTTTCCGCCGTCTGCCCCCTCAGCTGATGCCTGTCTCCTGGCAGGGGTGGGAGGGCTGGGGACCATGTCCTCTTCCTCCTGCTGTGGCACTGACGGCTGCTGCGCTTGCCCTTGGCAGGAAGAACCCTCTCCACTTCCACTTCATCACGGACTCGGTGGCCCACCAGATCCTCCAGACGCTCTTCCAGTCCTGGATGGTGCCCTCCGTCCACGTCAGCTTCTACGACGCCGATGACTTGAAGGCAGGCACTTGCCCCCCACTCCAGTGCTTGGAGGGCTGAGGGGAGCAGCGGAGAGGGGCAAGCGAGCGGGAAGGGCTTTATTAACTCTTTTTACTGCCGGTCCCTCGCTCACTGGCTCCCCTTTCTGGTCCAACTGAGGAAGGGGGCGCAGGGCTGGTGCTGGAAGGGTGGGGAGGCCCCTTGGGGTGGCAGTGCCTCTGCGGCGGAGCTGGGTCCTCCCCCGAGCACTGAAACCCTGGGGTTCAGGTGGGGGTTTCTGGTGGCCGGAGGAAGAGCCGTGCCAGGGTGGGAGCAGAGGAGGAGGAGATGCAGCCAGCGTGCGCCTGAAGGGCCTGGGGGAGAGGCGTGTGGCTGCCGATGGTGCTGCTGGAGGAGATGCTCCAGGCTTGCCGGCCCCACAGCTCGGTTGTGCCCCTCTGCTGACCTCCTGCCCGGGCAGGGGAAGGGCACGGCTCTGCCCAGCCCTGAGGCCGTGTCCGCCTTGCAGCCGGAGGTGTCGTGGATCCCCAACAAGCACTACTCCGGCATCTACGGGCTGATGAAGCTGACGCTTACCAAGGCGCTGCCCTCCAGCCTCTCCAAGGTCATCGTCTTGGACACCGACATCACCTTCGCCACCGACATCGCTGAGCTCTGGGCTGTCTTCGGGAAGTTTTCTGGTGAGGACGGGGTGCTGGCAGGGCTGTGGGTGCTGGGCTCAGGGTGGCAGTCGCCGCCTGCCACAGTGGGGTTCGCTTGGCCCCTCTGAACCTATGGCAAGGGAGGGGGGGCTGCGTCCACGTCCCCCTCTCTTTCCGCAGACAAGCAGGCAATTGGGCTGGTGGAGAACCAAAGCGACTGGTATTTGGGCAACCTGTGGAAAAACCACAAGCCGTGGCCGGCCCTGGGACGTGGCTTCAACACGGGTGAGCGTGGGTCCTGGCAGCCCGGCGGTTCATCCCGCGGAGGCAGAAGGGGGCTGGGGAAGGCTGAGGCGAGGCAGGAGGGTCCGGTGGGCGCGGGGTGGGGGGGGGTCGTGCGGGTGGGCGCAGAGCTGTGCTCCGGCTCTGTAACGGCTGGGTGCTCCCTCGGTGACCCAGGGGTGATCCTGCTCCTGCTCGACCGGCTGCGGCGCCTGGGCTGGGAGCAGATGTGGCGGCTGACGGCGGAGCGGGAGCTGATGAGCATGCTCTCCACCTCGCTGGCCGATCAGGTAACGAACGGTCCCTCCTCCGGGCTGCTCAGCCTTGCCCTGCCACCCTGCCTTCCTCACCCACCTCTCCTCTCCTAGGACATCTTTAACGCGGTGATCAAGCAGGACCCGGCCCTGGTGTACCGGCTGCCCTGCTTCTGGAACGTGCAGCTCTCGGATCACACCCGCTCGGAGCAGTGCTACACTGAGGTCTCCGATCTCAAGGTGGGTGGCGTGGCGTAGGGCCAGCCGGCAGCTAAGCCCCACGCAGCCGCTCGCTCCCAGTGGGATGGGGGAGGAGAATTGGGGGGAAAAAAAAAAAATTAAAAAAAAAACCCTGAAATTCATGGGTTGAGATGAGAACAGTTTAATAACTAAAATAAAATATAATAACAATAGTAATAATAAAATAATAGTAGTAAAAAGGGATATAATAAAAAGAGAGAAAAATAAAACCAAAGGAAAAACAAAGCAAACAAGGGGTGCACAGTGCAATTGCTCACCGCCCGCTGACCGATGCCCGAGCAGCCATCGGCCCCTCCCGGCCCGCTCCCCCCAGTTTAATATCCCTTTGGTGAGTTGGGCTCCGCTCTCCTGGCCGGGCTCCCTCCCAGCTTCTTGTGCACCCCCTCGCTGGCAGAGCACGGGGAACTGAGAAACCTCTAACTTAGGATAAGCGCTACTTAGCAACAGCTGAAACACCGGCGTGTTATCAGCGTTATTCCCACACTGAATCCAAAACACGCTTTACCAGCTACTAGGAAGAAAATGAACTCTATCCCAGTCGAAACCAGGACGGTGGGGTTTGCTGCCTTTGAGGCTGGGGAGGGCCTGAAGGACGGTGGAGGTCTGGGGGAGTCAGTGTCGGGGGGCTTGGGGAGCTGTGCTGCTGACCTCCCCTCCGCGGGGTGACGCACTCAGGTGATCCACTGGAACTCGCCCAAGAAGCTGCGGGTGAAGAACAAGCACGTGGAGTTCTTCCGCAACCTCTACCTGACCTTCCTGGAGTACGACGGGAACCTGCTGCGCAGGGAGCTCTTCGGCTGTGCCAGCCTCCCCAGCCCACCCAGCAACCAGGTAAAGGCGATGCCGACTCTGCCCCCGGCCCCGGAGCTCCCCGCTGGGGCTCCCCGCTCTCCCTCACCATCGCGGCGTTGCAGCTGCAGCAGGCGCTGGAGGAGTTGGACGAGGACGACCCCTGCTACGATTTCCGCCGGCAGCACCTCACGCAGCACCGCGTCCACCTCTTCTTCTTGCAGTACGAGTTCCTGGCCCTGCCCAGCCCCACCGACGTCACCCTCGTGGCCCAGCTCTCCATGGACAGGTACTGGTGGAGCTGGTGGGCGGCCGGATCGCACCTCCGCCCCTCAGGGGTGGCTTCCACAGCTCGGGAGCTGCCAGGAATACGCGCGAAACGTGGGTTCCTCACCCCCACAGCAGCGCTTTGCAGCGAGGAGCAGCAATTCCTCCCCCTCCGCCCCTGAACTCGCCTGGGCTGGCTGGCAAGCCCCCGGTTCGGGGTCTTCTCCTCTGGGCAGGCAGCCGGTCTCCCGCTCACGCAGCGCCCTCTGCTCCGCAGGCTACAGATGTTGGAGGCCATCTGCAAGCACTGGCCGGGCCCCGTCAGCCTGGCGCTGTACATGTCGGACGCGGAGGCTCAGCAGTTCCTGCGCTACGCCCAGGCCTCGGAGGTGCTGAGCGCCCGCCGCAACGTCGCCTACCACGTCGTCTACAAGGAGGGGCAGTTCTACCCCATCAACCTCCTGCGCAACGTGGCCTTGGCCAACACGCAGACGCCGTACGTCTTTCTGACGGACATTGACTTCCTGCCAATGTATGGCCTCTACGATTACCTCAGGTAAGGCTTTCTCCAGCCGGCTCTTGCTCAGTCTGCCAGGCTCCCCAGGCACTTGGGTTTGCAGGAAACACCCCGGGCAGCAGTTCTCGACGTGCAGAAGGTCTTTCCTTTGTGTTCAACCTTGGGATCCTGCTCTTGATTTTGCCAGACGCCGGCGGACGAGGAAGTCGCTGTGGCAGTGAGGGCCTCCCCGCTCCTTCCGCCCCTGCGTGGCACCAGTACAAAGTGCCTAAACCCGTTCATACCCTTCTGGGCAGGTTGGAGGGGCTGAGGAAAGGAGGCTGTGACCACGGCTCGCAGCCTGGGAGACCTCACCCCCTTCCTCGCACCGCAGGAACTCCATCCAGCAGCTGGAGCTGCCCCGGAGGAAGGCAGCTCTCATCGTGCCGGCGTTCGAGACCCTGCACTACCGCTTGACCTTCCCCAAATCCAAAGCAGAGCTGCTCTCCATGCTGGACATGGGCTCCCTCTACACCTTCAGGTAGGGACTGGGGCTTCCCCGCCAGCCAACGGGGCTCTCACCCCCAGCACAAGCTGGTTCGGTACCCTTGTGCCCTGGGGCCGTGGGGCAGCCGGCGCAGAGGATCCCCCGCCTCGTCCCTCCGTCTCGGGGAGCTGCCAGCTTGCCCCGATCGCTCATTTCCATCTCTCTGAGCAGGTACCACGTGTGGCCGAAGGGCCATGCCCCGACGGACTATGCCAAGTGGCGGACGGCCACCGTGCCGTACCGCGTGGCGTGGCAGCCAGACTTCGAGCCTTACGTTGTAGTGAGGCGAGACTGCCCCAAGTACGACCAGAGGTTCGTGGGCTTCGGCTGGAACAAGGTGTCCCACATCATGGAGCTGGATGCGCAGGTGGGTGAAGGGGCCGCTGCCGGCACCCCCTGGAGCTGCTGGGTGTTGGGGGGAAGGGGGGGGGGGCCCGTGGTGGTACCACCAAACCGATGCTGACAGGGCTGCTGCCCTTCCTCCAGGAGTACGAGCTGCTGGTCCTGCCCAACGCCTTCATGATCCACATGCCCCACGCCCCCAGCTTCGACATCTCCAAGTTTCGCCTGAGCGCGGGGTACCGGGGCTGCCTCCGGACGCTGCGGGAGGAGTTCCACCAGGACCTGTCGCGGCGCTACGGGGCTGCCGCGCTCAAATACCTCACGGCCGAGAGGAGCCTGTGACCCCGGGGGGGGACAGCGGGTTGTGGGGTGCTCGCAGCACGCCGGAGAAGGGAGGGGCGCAGGGCCTGCCGCCTGCCCCGGCCCGCCGCCGCAGCCCGGCCCGAGGGACCCAAGCCTCTGCAGCCCAGCAAAGGGCTGCCCGGAGATAAAACGGAAGGTGCCAGCTGAGAGATCAGGCAGTGCCTGCAGGTCAAGCTGCTGCGGCGCGGCCGAGGGGTTGTATTTTTTTTTTTTTCGGAGCAGCGGCCTTCCCGCGGTACAGGGGAGCCACCCCTGGCCCGGGGATATTGTTACTCCCCATCCGTATGGATGCAGAGTCCCCAGTGGGGTTGGCCCAGTTACTACTGGGTGGTGCGGGGGGCACCAGCTGGGCCCCCCCCAGTTCACGGGGCTGTGAACCATCGCGCCGGGCAAAGCAGCAGCGCAAGGTGGTGGTGGGGGGGTGGGGTGTCACCCTGCTCCCCCCTCACCCCCCAGCTCTGGGCAGCGCAGACGTTGCCATCGACAATCAGGGATGTGGTTGACACTGGAGGAGGCCGTAGCTGAGCGCTGTGGCGGGAGCCCCGCGCCGGGAGCCGCGTGGCCGGGCACTGTTCCACCGCTAGCACACACTGGAGCACAGAGGATGCATTGCTTTCCTCACGCTATTTAAATTATTTAATACTTTTCTCGTAAGAGTTCAATGATTAGGGTGTCTGGGTTGGTTTGGGGGTTTTTTGTTTTTTTGTTTTTTTTTTTTTTTTTCAATCCTTTCTTCCTCTCGGATGATTTTGCTGGTGGCCCTGGAGGCTCTCCAGGCCAGTTGCTGCTGCAGTCGCCGCTGTTCTCTCCTTTGCGTTCCTCGGGGCAGCAAGAGCCGGCTCTGTGCAGGTATGAGGATTTCCGTCCAGGGCGAGAGCGGCCAGGAGGAGCCATACAAAGCGCGGGGTATGGAAAGGGCACAAGCGCTTCTTGCTTATTCTCTAATTTAATTTTTAAATTAAAGCTTTTTTATTCTTTTTCACATCCTTGTTAGAACCGCCTGGTTAGTGGTTTTTTTTCTTTTCCGCCGTGCGCCTGCACATGTCCCCTGGAGGGGAGGCAGCGGGAGGAGAGCAATGCGGGGGGTAGCCTGAGCCCCGGCCGGGGCAAAGCGTCACTGGGCTTGCTCTGCTTGGCGCGTTTGAAGCCTTTTCCCTTTCTGGCTGGCGCAGCGGGAGGGCTGGGGAGCAGGGAGCAACAGCAGGCAAAAGAAATGCCCGTGTCACCAAGCGGCAGGCGCGCCAGTCCCCTGCCAGCTCTGAAACGGCTGGCGGCCGCTGGCTGCGGTGGGATCAAGGCACCCTGGGAACCTTTAAAAAAAACAAAACACCAAACAAAAAACAACCAAACCACCGGCACCCTTTAAATGAGCTTAGGCATGTAGTTGACTCGTGCCTGAGCAGATGGGAGTTTTTCTTCTGGAGGTGCTGCAGCTCGTCCCCGAGACCGGCGTGCCGAGCTGGCTGCCGTGCCGTGACCCGCAGGACCTTCCCCTCGCCCCCCCACCCCCCCAATTACGGGCACCCAGCGCTGGCCAAGGCACCGACCGGGGCTGCCCCCTGGGCTTTACGAGGCTGTTGGGAGTAAAAATCAGGCTCTAAGGCCTCGCATCTGCAGGGAGGGCGAGGGTGGTGTGCCAGGAGCAAGCTGTCGAGGCTTTATTTGGGAAAAGGTTGGGGATGTGGCGGTGGAGCCGTGCCGGGCCGGAGCGGGACTCTGCTGGGCGGTTCTCGGAGGGCGAGGAGGCTCACAGGAGCGCTGGGTCCGCGTTTTTTTTGGGGAGGTGTAGCGCTACGGCTGGAGCGGGAGGACCGTGTGGCATCATTTTGTAGACAATCCTTCCCCGACTGGACGCTCCTCGGGCCAAAACGGGTCTACAAAGGGTGGAGGTGCCCGGCGGAAACCCAGCGCGGATTTGGTGTCCATGTGCCCTCTGCAGGGCAGTGTCAGCGGGAGGCAGCCACCGAGTCAGAGCCCCTTTTAGAGCTAAAATTCATTTCTGCGAGTGCTGCACCCAGCCACCCGCAGAAACCCCTCCCTGGGGACGTTCTGCAGGCGCCGTCCTGTGGGACCCCGCTGTCCCCGCCTGGTACATACGGCTAAGGAGACAAAGAGATTTTATCGTGTTTTATTTAGTAAAATGTTAAAATAAATAAATACAAATTGATCAGATGCTCTGTACCCACTCCCCACCCCCCTCCAACTTCAATTTGCTAAAATCTAAACACATTCGTAACAAAACTGAAACCACAAGGGACTTGAAGGCAGCAAAGAGACTGCAGATCACTATGAGCATCAGGCTAAAAAAAATAGAGATATTTTAAAAAAACAAACAAACAAACAAACCAGCTCACGAGTCGGGTGTTCTCGTGATTCTGTGACAACAGAGCAGTACCAGTCAGAAAGGGAATTTTACACCAGGGCCTGCAAGGATGGGAGATAGGTGGGGAGAAGGGCAGAGCCACGGCTTCGCCGTGCGGAAACCCGGCCAGGAGAGAAGCTGCCACCGTCCCCTTGAAGCACCAGGCCAGGAGAGGGGGGCGGGGGGCAGGGGGGGGGGCTGTGCCGCCAGAACTGGGGGCCCTTCACCAAAAAGCACCTGGAGAAGTCGGGCAGGCTGGGGAGGGAGCGGGGCTCGGACACGGTGGCCCTTCAGCGTCAGCTCCTGGTCCGACCCCAAGCCAGGACCCCCGCTTTCCAGCTTGGGCTGGGGGGGTGTGTGCGGGGGGGGGGGGGGGGGGACACACAGGGGGAAGCGCAGCACGCAGGTGGGGCGGCGGGGCGGGGTGGTGGTGATCGACAAGGCTACTGAGATGGTGCCAGCACGGCCGCAGGAACGCCGAGCCGTGGGCGAGGGCCGGAGTTACTCATCTCTATCCACGCGGAGCTGCCTTTGCAACCCGCGCCTGCCCTCGGCCGCAGCCGCCGCGGTGCGTGTTTGCAAGTTAGAGCCAGCCATCCCACCCGCCCCCACCCAAAAAAAAAAAAAAAAAGACAAACCACCCCCGTGGGGAGCCACCCCGCTGCCACACCAGCCCTCCCGGGCAAGCGGCAGCTCACCACCGCTCCGCCGCCGTCGCCGCAGCAAACTCGGTTCCTTCCTCAACAGGTTGGCGCTGGCAGTTCTCCCCCGCCCTCGTTACCTTGCTTAATTCTCCCCTTAACGGAGTTTGCAACCCCTGCTCCGCTTCTGCGGGACCACGAGAGGCGGCCAGGACGCCTCTGTCACCCTAAGAGGGTGCTGGGGGGGGGGCCCTGCGGCTGTAACCGGAGCGAAGCGGCTCCTGGGACGCGACTGGGCTCTGGGGACGTGGGGCTGCGGGGGAGCTGCCCCAGCCTGGGGGGCTTACGCGGTAGCGAGACCCCTCCTTATTAAGAAGGGTCATGGCTGCCTGTCACAGGTGGCATCAGGAATGACTCCGAGACACAAATTACCTTCTGGAAGGGAGAGCTGACGGGTAAAGACGCCGCTCCCGGCTCTAGAGTCAGTCGCCGATGCCAGCGATAATTACGGAAGCCTCTGAGGCTGTCGTTGGAGAGGACACATTAGCCCAAAACGCGCAGCCTCCTGCCGCACCCGGCACGGGGCGCGACCGTCCCTCTTCCTTCCACAGCGCCCACTCCCACCGGCCCGCAGCCCCCGACAAACGGCTCTTGCCGCGTCAGAACCGCCAGCACCCGCTTGACGGAGGGGCACGCGAGGCACGGAGGGTCTAAATTTTTTTTAATTTCTTTCTTTCTTTCTTTTTTAAATAAGTGCCTTCCCCCGCCTCGATTTTGGCACGAGAGGCGAAGATCAGTGCGAGGAGCCAGGGGAGCCCCTGCCCTCGCTTGCGGGCGCGCGGCGTCTCCCGTGAGCCCGAGGGTGGCCGCTGCTGTAAGACACCCCCCCCCCCCCCCCCCGAGCTACACCTTCGACAGCGTTCTGGTTGCTCGCTAAGAAAAGGGCAGCTCCAAGGCAACACCACTTCTTTTCCAACACCACAGATAAAAAAAGGCAGGTGGCAAAGGGTCAAGGTCTATGTCTATCCAGCGTACATCCAGGGAAAAGATGCAAATTCCTCAGGGGGTGAAAACTCTGCTGAGCGCCAGCAGAGCGATGCTGCTCGCTGCGGCTGCCTTCCCCGTGCCACCTCTCCACCCAGGACACCAAGCCAAGCTCGCAAGGCTTTTGAGTTCCCCGGGGCACTTCTGAGGATGGCAAACATGCCCTTAAGGACTTCTTCCCTCCTAGAGGGCGACTGGGCTGAGTTTCTCTGTCTGAAGCGCTCGGCACCCGTTGGGGTACTCCGGGGTGAAGAACAGACACGGAGCCAACTCCCTGCCAACACACGGGAGCTGGGACGGCCGGTCTCCCAGGAGGGTGCCCCGTGGGCCGCGGCTTCGGGCAGGCTCAGTGCAGGGCCCTCGGCTCCTCAAGGGTCACGCCGAATTTACCGCATGCCCCTGCCTGGCTGCCCTGGCGAAGCGCCCCTTCGCGCGGGTCCCCGAGGAACCCAGCTCCTAAGAAAACAGGGAGGCATTGCTGCGCCGAGGGGTTTGGGCCACGCAACTGCCAGCCCAGAGAGCAGGAGTCTCGGCAGGGGCACTCCAAGAGATGCCTGAGAAGCACCTGGAGCCACAGGTCCTGCCCGGCGCCATCTCCCCCCGCTCACTCGGGACCCCTGGGAGCCGACGCTGGTTCCAACCGGGCTGAGCGGGAGGCTGGAGCCGGGAAGGTGCGGCCGCACCAGCGCAGCTGCGCTTTTGGCCGGTCTCAGGAATATTCCCAGCCCTGAGAATTGTTCACGAACGCCGCCCAGATCAGAGCAGGCTCGGGCTGCCCCCAGGCCTGCCCGCCCGGCCTCATCCCGCCTTGTGGCGCGGAGTCAGGGGCGGCTCTCGTCAGGACGGGATCCCTCGGCGGCAGCAGCAGCAGAGCCAGGGCTGACTTAGCGCCCGCTTCCTTCCCCACCTGCTGCAATTTTCTCCCACCAGGGCTGACTTAGCGCCCGCTTCCTTCCCCACCTGCTGCAATTTTCTCCCACTGCACTTGGTTCTTTTGGAAGGCGGATCGACCCAAGCCAGAAATCGAGGCAGGATGAAGAGCCTTTTTGTTCCAGTCTTTCCACTGAACTTCCAAACCCTGTAACTGCAGGAGTACCTGTCTCCTCACAAGGGAGACCTGTTTCACACCTGGATTTTTCCTACCCTCACTTTCCCTCCTTCTCATCTCTTCCCATCTCCTCTCTCTGCTCTGCTTTATTCCACAGAATTTTTGTTTCCTTTGCTCCTCCTGCCTCCTCTCTTCCTCTCCCCTGCGCCTCCAGCCCTGTACCCCTTCTCACAGCCCTTGCTTCTCAGAAGAGGTTTCTGTCCTTTCCTCTGTCCCTGCAGCACCCAGTGCTGGCCCGGGGAGACGAGGGGCCCCAGCCGGGCCGTTCTCAGGCCGAACGCTCCAGGGACTTGCACAGCACAGAGATCTTCACAGCACCGATGCTCTCAGCAAGCCCCTTTTCCGTTCACTACTCGGGGAGTCTAGCAATACTGACAGGGGACGGAGGCAGACCCTCACACAGGTAAGGTCTTGGTTTTCTGAAACAAGCCCACATCTTAAATCGGCCTCCAGGAGAGGTGTCTGTCTTTTCATGGGTCTATAATTACCAAGCTTACCAGTGCATGGTATAAATAATTTTCTTTATTGGCAAGTTTCAACTATGTGCTCAGCCTATACAAGACACAATGATGCAGAAAGTTCTTGTCCCAGATAAAAGATAAACATGGGGGAAATGGGAGCTAAAGGTAAAGAATAAAGAGAGTCATATTTTTCAAGTATTACATTCCATTCTGTAGGTGTTACAAACAGGACTGAGGCTTAAAGAAGGATCTGAGTAAGACAGCAATAACCTGGAGACAAGATGTCTGCAGCTCTTGTGTTTTCCTGATCCCACCTGATTTTTCGGATGTTCCCTGGTCCAGGTCTGACCACGGAAAACCAGGGTCCAACAGTGTGT